CGCCCTGTCTCGCCGTGTGGTGCTCCCCTCCTCTCGCGACGAAGCCGACGGCCCCTGCGAATGAGTCGCCGATCCGGCGCCGCACTTGTCTGACCAGGCGCTGCTCTGCGACGGCCCCGACGGTCTCCCACTCCGCCACACCGCCGCCGCGCTGCTGCCTCTGCCGGCCTCGCCTCCCCACCGCCCGGTCAGCCGCGGTTTATGAGGCCGTGAGACCGAAAGGCCGTGGACAGGCGGCTCAGCTTCTCTCGTCTCAGCCGCAGCTAGCCGCCGCCGCGTGTGCCGCATTCGAGGAGCGGACTGCGCAGGGGCTGGAGAGGGCGGCTGCCGCACAGGCGAGATGCAGCCGAGGTGTAGCCGAGATGGGATCTGGTGGGGTGGCTGTGCTGCAGCGCGCCGCCATAATGAGTATCATGATGCCGTGGTGTTGTTTCTTTTATTCTTAGGCGCTCCACCGCAACGCACCGTGGACTCGCGTCGGCGTCACGCTCTCGAGAAGCGCCTTCGCACGCCTGTCGGCCCTCCGCTTCGCCGCTCCCGCCGCCGCCAAGCCGCCAGCTGCTCTCGCCGCCGCCGCGCCAGCCTCCGCCGACCTTGGCGCCGGGCATGGTGTCGTCGAGCTGCAGCTGCTGCGAACAGCTCCTCTCCACGCGCCTGGCTGTGAACAGGCGCCAAGCTTGGGTTGGGTCTCGCGCTGCTGCTGCTGCGGGGAGGAGGAGGAGGGGGAGGGGGAGGAGGGGGAGGGGGAGGGCGGGTGGCGGAGGGAGCTGCGTGGGAGCGGTGCTCGCCCTCTCTCGCCGCGGAGAGCGCGATTGGTTCCGGAGGAGGAGTGAGCGTGGCCGAGTCTGTGAATCAGGCCCGCCTCCTCCCCTCCCTCTGCGGCGCGCGACAAGTCTCCGCCAGTCTGAGCGGCTCTGGCGACTCGATCAGGTACCTCGCCTCCCTTCGCAACGCCGGCTACTTTCGCGGCGAGAGGGAGGGCTCCGCGCTTCACAGGCGCAGCTCTCGTCCTTCGTCTTCTTGCTAGCAGCACTAATGCTCTCCTGGGACGGCTCCGCCCTTTGGTTAGGATGCTCACCGCGCGCGCCACCGCCGCTTTCTCCTCCGACGCTGCTGCGCCGTGCGGAGGAAGAGGCATGGGGGGGTAGGGGGGGGGGGGGATTGGGTGGGCGGGTGCGGCGTCGAGTCACACGCGCACGCTGTGAACAGGCGGCGGGAGCGAGGCGTGGCTCGACGGGGCTGCGCGTGAGGCTGCCGCCGCGCTCGCCTCGCCCTCGACGCTGCCGTCGCTCTCCGATCTCGAGGTCTCTGGGACGGCGGCGACTTCCCCGGAGGAGGGCGCACTCTCGGCTGAGCTCCGGGCCCTCTCTCGGCTGTCAGGCGGCGGCGGCGGCGATGCCCCGGGATGAGGACGCGTGGCTGCGCCTGTCCGAGTTGGGCTTCGAGGAGGCGATGCGGGCCCACGCCGCCCCGCCTCTAGAGGGCGGCGGAGGGGCGGGGGGGGGCGCGGGCGGCGGCGGTGGCGCGGCGGGTGGCGTCGGCGCGGCGGGCGGGGGTGGCAGGGCGGGCGGGGGTGGAGGTGGCGGGGCTTCGTTGGGGGGGGAGGAGGAGGCGGTGGCGGCGCTCGGCGAGGTTGTGAGCGGGCTCAAGGGGTTCCTTCAGACGCGGGCGACACCCGAAGGCGCGACGCTGCTTCCTAGACACCTCCTAGACACTTCCTAGACGCGCCGTGCACCCCTCAGCAGCGTCTCGTCTCGGCTGGTCGTGTCTCTTCACAGCTGCCGCTGTTCACAGCTGCCGCTGTTCACAGCTGCTGTTGCGAGTGATCAGGCGCCGAGTTGGTCGCGGGGAGGGAGGTGCAGGTACTGCCGCACTCGCGCCGAAAGTCGAGATGGCCCGAGAGTCCGAGATCGTCCGAGGTCGTCGGAGATGACCCGAGATGTCCCGAGCTGCTTAGGTCCAGCTCGACTCGAGCCTGTTCCTGCAGTCGCTGCAAGCCGCGCTCGGCGGCGCGGCTGGGGGGGGCGAGGAGGGGAGCGAGGAGGGGAGCGAGGAGGGGAGCGAGGAGGGGAGCGAGGAGGGGAGCGAGGAGGGGAGCAAGGGCGAGGGCGAGGACGAGGGCGAGGGCGGTGGTGGCGAGGAGGGCGAGGAGGAGGGTATGGCTGGGATACGAGACCTGATGGAGGCGTCTCGATTGTGCAGCTCAGGGCCCCAGCGGCGGGTGGAGTCGGCGTCTCTTCACACCGGCCCCCGCTATGAACAGGCGATGGACGCGGAGCTCCACTTCAAGGCTTCGGGGCCCGACTTTGCCATGCGGGCCGCCGGCGGTGGCGAGGGCGCAGACGGAGGCGAGGTCGGCGGCGGCGGCGGCGGCGGCGGCGGCGGAGGAGGAGGAGGAGGAGGGGAGGGTGCCGTCGACCTCGACCTGAACCTGGTGCAAAACATGCTCAAGGCGCACTCGGCGCAGGGGGGATTGTCAGGCCCCGCCGCGAGCCTGCTCGGCTCGCTCGGCGTGGTGCTGCCGGCGGACGCGGACGCCGCAGCAGAGAAGGAAGAGGCGGCGGGCGGCGGGCAAGAGGTGTAATGCGTACAGTATATGAGTCCTCTCTGTCTCCGTCAACCAAGGCGTGAAACGTGAGTGCGAGTGTTCATGGTGTATAGCTAAGTACTGGCTCAGCAGCAGCAGAGGGGCGGTTCAGAATACGCATATGAACCTGGTGTAGCATAAAGCCGTATGCGAATTAAGCCCCGTGCCCGTCTTAGGGGGCCCAGCGCCCCAAAATCCACCAACTGTGGGATTTCGCGCAATCGCTTGACTCTGAAAAGCTCTAATGTACCTCCTGCGAGGGCTGTGGTCGCCGCAGACTGGCTCCGACTTGACGGGCGCATGGAGACGTGATGCCTGCATGCGCCCGTCAAGTCGAAATCGACATGCGAGTCGATCTTTGGCCCGCCAAGTCGTGGCGGCGTGCGAGTGTGTGTGTGTGTGTGTGTGTGTGTGTGTGTGTGTGTGTGTGTGTGTGTGTGTGTGTGTGTGTGTGTGTGTGTGTGTGTGTGTCACCTCGAGGCGGGCGGTAACAAACCGGTATGGCTGCGGTAGTGCGTCTCCAGCCATGTCTACTAAGGATGGCTGCCGTGTGTGTGTTGCAGCCATCGGGCTGAAGGATGTGGCTGCACTGTAGCTAGCTCAGCCATCCTTAGGTAAGATGGCTGTGTAGGAGACAGCACAGCCATAGTGCGCTTACATTCCGAGGTTAGCCCATAAATACGCTCAACGTAGCCTCTCGAATAACGTACATGAACCTCTCAAAGTCAAACGTATCACTCCGTTGTGTTCGCGCGCGTCACTGGCGGAGCCGGAGCATCGCCTGCCGTGCTACTCACGCCGCTCGCCGCCGCCGTGCCCCCGGCGGAGCCCAGGAGCGACCTCCAGCGCGAGGGTGCGGGTGCCGACGCCGCTGCTGCCGGGGCCGAAGTCCCTCGCGCCTTCGCGCGCGCGATGACGGCCGCGAAGGCGTCCACCGACTGGTCCGCGGGAGCGGCGGCAGCCGCTCCGTGCGCGTGCCCGTCCGCCAGGCTGTGCATCTGCTCGGTGAGGCGCGCAATCACCTCGTCGCGGGCCTGTAAGCGCGCCGCCGCCTCCGCCTCGCGCGCCGCCGCCGCGTCGGCCACCAGCTTCGCAGAGCGCAGCGCGGCCGCCTGCGACACGAGCCGCTCCGAGTCCTCGGACGCGATCGCCTCTGCCGCGGCCACCTCGGCGGTGAGGGCGGCGAGCCCCACTCGAAAGTCCTCCACAGACCGCCGCTCCGGAGCGGTGGGAAGCTGCTGTTCGGCAAGGGCAGCTGCGGCCGCCACTTCTGCTAGCCGGTGAACGGAGGCGGACACAGCCGCCTCGGCGCCACTCAGCTCCGCCGCGAGGGAGCCAACGCACACGCGCGCCTCTGCCAACGCCGCCTCCTGGGCCGCCTCCGCCGCCCGCAGCTCAGCCAAGAGGGATGCGACCTCGGTGCGGCTCGCCTGCGCCTCCTCTGACAGGTAGAGCCCCGTCTGCGACGC